CCCTGGGCAAAAAAAAAAAAAAAAAAAAAAAAAAACCATTAAAAAAAAGAATAGAATATAGAAGGGAAGAGAGAGTATGTAAAAAATTTAATATCTGCTGGAGAGGTGATCAGAAATTCTAAGACAGAACCATTGAAACCAAAAGCAAACTGAGCCTTTTACAACTCTTTCTTAGGTCTGGAAGGCCCTTCCATTTCTTGCCCCTATCTCCTAGTTGGCAACTAATTCTCTCACCCTTCAAGACAAACTCTGGAGCCAGAAACTCTGGCTTCACATTTTTGCTCAACCACTTACCAGCTATAAAACTTGGGTTGTTAAAAGTCAGGGTTATTTTTTTGTTTTGGGGTTTTTTTTGTTTGTTTGTTTTTTAGTAAATGGGGCTGATGAGAGTGTACCTAACAGAATTACATGAACTAATGCAGATAAAGTCCTTAGAATGCTGAAACAGGAGGGAGCAGGAAATAGAAGACTTGGCTCCTGCCCATGAGGGGATTACAGTGAGGTTTCTTGGTAACTTCACATGGCACAAAGGGACAAGGTAGCTAGGTCTCTGAGATCTCTTTTATAAGGACACCGATCCGCTTCATAAAAGCTGCACCCCAGGCTGGGAATTTAGCTCAGTGGTGCCGCCACCTGCCTTAAAGGTGCAATTTTGATCCCTGGTACAAAAAAAGAAAAAAAAAAACCTGCACACCTCCCCCAATGGGCTGGGGATTTAGCTCAGTGGTACTGTGCCTGCCTCATAAGCACAAGGTCCTGAGTTTGATCCCCAGTACCATAAAAAAAAAAAAGCTGCACTCCTATGAATTTTTTGTCTTTTGTTTTTTGAGACAGGGTCTCACTGTATAGTTGAGACTGACCTGGAACTCACTATGTAACCCAGGCTGGTCTCGATCTCACAGCAATCCTCCTGCCTCAGCCTCCCAAGTGCTAGGATTACAGGTGTGTGCCACCATGCCCACCTCTGCACCCTTATGATTTAATTATCTCTGAAAGGCTCCACCTCCTAATACCATCATCTTGGGGCTAGGATTTCAACATCAAACATAAATTTATAATACCCTTTTTCCATGAACCTTCTGATCATTCAGTAGTCTAGCCCAAATTTCTTTAAAATATGGTAGCAAGATAGCCAGCGTGATGGTGCATGCCTATAATCCCAGTACGCAGGAGACTGACACAGGAGAATCACTGTAAGTTTGAGGCCAGTCTGGGCTACATAGTGAGTTTAAGGCCAGCCTGGAATACAGAGTAAGTTTCTACCTCGAAATAAATAGACAGATAAAATTTTTAATTTTGAAAGAGTCTCGCTAAATTGCCAAGGCTGACCTTAAACTTGTGATCCTTCTGCCTTAGCCTCCAAAGCGTCTGGGACTACAGGAGTATGCCACCATGCCTGGCTCTCTAGCCACAATATTTTATTCTATTTACTTTTAAGAAATATATAGTTAGATAAAATAAATAAGTAAAAGAGAGCCAGGCATGGTGGCATACTCCTGTAGTCCCAGACGCTTTGGAGGCTAAGGCAGAAGGATCACAAGTTTAAGGTCAGCCTTGGCAATTTAGCGAGACTCTTTCAAAATTAAAAATTTTAAATAGCTGAAATGTACTTCAGTAGTAGAGTGCTTCTTAGCATCTGCAAGACCCTGGGTTCAATAATCAGTACTGCAAAACAAAACAAAACAAAAGGCATGAAATTTTATGTGTTGATTATTAGAGGCTGCCAATCTAGCATCTACTATAGTCTGCCCACTGGCCCTTGAAAGTCCCAGTCTCTTCCACACACAAAATATAACACACATACACACCTGCCAGTTTTTATCCCATCAGGCACGAAGTCCAGGGTCTCATCATCTGGACCAGGTACACATAGGTGAAGCTCCTCTGGTACAGGCCATCAGGCTGGTAAATTTCATCAGATTTGGGGACCTTGTAGTGCCAGTGGTGTCATGTTGCCTCATGAGAGATGATTGTGAACATCCTCTTACAACTCTGTTCCATGATGTCATATTAGTTGTGTGATTGGACATTGTGAGAGAATTTATACTATAGAAATAATTGGCTAACACTACAAATCGGGGCTTTAAATTTTTTTTCCTGGAGACCGGTTACTAAACATTTACCAACACACTGTTGCCTATGTCCTAAAAATACAAGTTGTCTGCCCCCTACACACCTAACATACAATTCTGAGGCAAGGACATGATAACCATAATAGACATTTTGGTTCAAAATGAAATATGGGTAGTAGGGCACAGCAGTCACTGATCTATAAACATTCAGCCAAGCATAGACACAGTATGATCCAAATATACAATAAATGTTTAATTTTTTGAAATCGCAGTATTACAGGGCCAGGGACTTAGCTCAGTGGCACCAACCCTGCCTCACAAGCATAAGGTCCTGAGTTTAATCCCGGTATAAAAAAAAAATTACAGTATTACAGTAAAAGATAAATTGCCATTAATCCCCCTTAAACACTTACCCTCTCTTGGAACACACATGCCATTGATCTTGTCACCTTCTGAAGCAGTTCTGGAAGTCCTCTTTCATGAGTATCTTTACAAGGTGTGATCAAAAGTACAATGAATTCTGATGCTGTGTGCCACCCAATAGAAAAAGCAGGCTCATAAAAACATAATATACATCCTCATTAACCTTATTCACCAGATCTGGCACTATGCACCTTCTCACCCTTTCCCAAAGTCAAAACGACCATGAAAGGAAAACATTTTGAATCACTTCAGAACATTGAGGCAGCTACAGCAGGATAACTGAAGACACAAAAGACTCCCAAACTGCTTCAGAAAGTGGCAAGGATGGTGAGTTACGTGAGTTTGAAGGGAAAGAGGCTATCAAGAGAGAGATAAATGGCAATAAGTCCTGCACTATAATAAATTTTTTAAAATTTAAATATTCACTGTAGTTTTCAATCATACCTGGTATCTCAGTCCACCCCAGATCCAGAATTCTCTTGGTTAGAACCTGATTCTGCTTTTTTTTTCTTCTTTCTCTTTCTTTCTTTTTTTCCTCCAATAGTGGGAGTTGAAACCAGGGCCTCTCAAATGCTAGGCAAGTAAGTACTCTACCATTAAGCCATATCCCTAGCCCTTTTTATTTTATTTCTTATTTTATTTATGTATTTATTTACTTATTCATTTTCGAGACAAGATCTTACTAAATTGCCCAGGCTGGGCATGAACTTGAAATCTTTCTGCCTCAGCCTCCTTCATGGCTGTAATTATAGAAATATTCCATTCACCCAGCCTGATTCTGTTCAGTGGAAGGAACTTCCTATTACTCATTATTGCTCTTCTGGGCTCCTAGAGCCATGCTGATACCTTCTAACATACCTCTCCTATTAAAAAGGAAATGACCTGTGTTTGTGGCTGAATGGTTTTCTCAGCTGAATTTCTGCCCAAAACAGATAGGGGCTCAGAGGTCTCCTTCTATTTTGAATTATCTCTATCTTCTTTAGTCCAAACTGGTGCTGCTTTCACTATTAAACTGTTTAGCTGGATTTGTTGCAATAGGCCTGTAATCACAGGTACTCTAGAGACTGAGGTAGGAGGATTGCAAATTCAAGGACAGCCTAGGCAATTTACGGAGACCTTCACTAAAAAAAATAATAATAATTTTTTTTTCTTTTGAAATAGGGTCTTGCTATGTAGTTGAGGTTGGCCTTGAACTCACTACACAGCCCAGGCTGGCCTCAAACTTGTGATCCTCCTGCATCAGCCTCCTGAGAAGTGGGATTATAGGCATATGCCATCACTTCAGGCTCTTTTTTTTTTTTTTTTTTTTTTGTGTTGGGA